GACCAGGAAGATGGCGGTGGCCGCCCACCGGAAATCCCTGCTACCCCCGCCCCCCGATCTTCTCTCCGCCTATCCCGACAAACGATTCTCGCACGAGGCCCCGCCCCTCTCCTAAAACGACAGCCGCTCCTCTGCGGTCATTGGACGCGCATGTAGCCAGAGAGCCCGTCGGGAACCCTCAGTAAAGATGGCGCCGGCGCCGTTTCCGCCCGCTGCTCTTCGCGCGGAGCGGAGGAGGGGCGTGCGTCGCGGAGGAAATGACGCTTTTCGTCGCGCGACGGCCCCGGTCTTTTGGGCGGCTGTGCACGCGCGGGCGGCGGCTCGAGGTCAGCGGAGGCGGCAGCCCGGCAGGTGAGGGAGGGGAAGGCGGCGGGCCGCCTTGCCCTGCGCTGCCGGCTCTGGGGAGTGTGGAGAGGGGAGGACGCGCGGTGGTGGTGGGGGGCCGAGAGAGAAAGGGGCCGGACCATGCCACCCCCCCCCCTCAGGCGAGGCCCGCAGTCAAGGGCGCCGGTTTCCCGCTCGGTTGGCCAGGCGTGGGCCTGTGGAGCTTCCGTCATCGCCTTTTGTCTCTTCCCTGCTCTCCAACGTGCTCGGGGGGCCGGGCCATGGCCCTTCCCCGCAAGGTCGCCATTCTCCAGGCGGGACCGGGAGATCTCCCGGAAGTACAAGTAATCTCCCGGCGGGGATTCGTTCCCCTGGGGGGGGAAGAGGGTTGCTTTGCCTGGTGGCCTCTCGTGTTCTACCCCAACCGAGGTTCCCCCCCTCCCCAGGCCCAACCCCCTCCAAATCTCCAGGTATTTCCCAAGCCGAAGTTGGCAGCCCTGTTTCCCTCTGCTTAGGTTTGTCCTCACAACAACTTTGTCGGGTAGGGGTGCCAGCCTCCAGGTGGGGCCTGGGGATCTCCTGGAATTGCAGATCGTTTCCTAACGATGGAGATCACTTCCTCTGGGTGGAAAAAATAGATGCTTTGGAGGGTGGATTCTATGCTGTTGTATTCTACTGGGGTCCCCTCTCCCTCAGGCTCCATCCCCAAATCTCGAGTTTTTTAACCTGCATGTGGTAACCTTACCCCTACCCCCGCCAGTGGCTATCGGGGACCTGGAAACCCCACCAGGTAGGTTTTTATTCTACCTTATGCCTGGTCTTTCCACACTAGTGTGACAATAATCACTGTGCCAAACTGCCTGTCTAAATTGGGACAAGAGTTTGGCTCAAAATTAGCCAGTAAGCTCCATGAAGGAGTGAACTGTGTTCTACCTGATCTTGAGGGGAGGCAGCCCCAGAGAGGAGTTTCATTGAAGTGGGAAGAATGTTTATTGAAGTAGGAAGAAGGCAAATGGCTTTTATTGGTCTACTGAAATTCGATTGACTGTCTGGTTTTAAACAAATTAATTTGTGTAAAAGAACATAAGTGAAGCCAATGTTTGATCAGACCAATGGCCCATCCAGTCCAACACCAGGTGCCATCAGGAGCTCCGGTGGGGCCAGCCGGACACTAGGAGCCTTCCCACTGTTGTCCCCCCCACAAACACCAAGAATACAGAGCATCACTTGCCCCAGCCTGAGAGTTCCTACCTATACCTTGTGCCTAAGAGCCACTGATGGACCTCTGCTCTGTATGTTTATCCATAAGAACATAAGAGAAGCCAATATTGGATCAGGCCAGTGGCCCATCCAGTCCAACACTCTCTGTCACACAGTGGCCAAAAATACCAGGTGCCATCAGGAGGTCCATCAGTGGGGCCAGGACACTAGGAGCCCT